CTGTTTCAGTTCCTATGAACAGATGTTCAGCTCCAGTCTTAACCAATTGATCTGCTGTTTCGTTTCTAGCAATACCCTCATGCCCTGGCACCCATGTCAGTTGTACCCTGTTATGTTTGTCCAGTTCCATGACAGTTTGGTGGCAATCCCAGACCAATTGTGAGTTGATCTGGTGTTTGTCAAGCGCTTTAAGTGCAGCTTGGATGTCAGATAGGAAGTAGATGTTTGTATTTCTGTAGTTCCTATCTAGATTCTCCATAATACATGACTTAATGGCATATACTTGTGCCTGGAATACTGTCGTGTACTTCCCAAGGCTGAAACTAAGTTTCCGCCTCATGCCATAGCAGAACATATCGGCTCCAATGCCCTTATTTATCTTGGAACCATCTGTATACCAGATCAGGCCGAAACCTGTCTTCCCATTCACTCCTGTCAGGAAATCTGACTGTGAAGGGTTTTTCATATACATGTCTCAGTATCATTTTGTCAGACCCCATTTGTAATATGTGTTCTTTTTCATGTCTTGAGTTATGTATGCATGTCTGAAACTATCGGATCTAGGTTTCCATTGATCACTGCACTGGAGACAGTAGATTCCTGCCCTGGCCTCTGCCTCCAACTGTACATGCAGTCGGGGGAGTCCAAGGAGTGTCTCCAGTGCAGCTGTTGGAGATGTTTGAATTGCTCCTGTGATACCCAAGCAAGCCAACCTTTGAAATTTGCTAAGTTCTTCCTTGCTTGTCTTCTGTTTAACTCTGGGCCACCATATTGTGGTGCCATATGTAATTATAGGGCTTACAACCGCAGCGTATATCCAATGTACAACATGTGGCTGCAGTCCCCAAGTTTTACCAAACATGCTTCTGCATGTCCAAAAAGGATTATAGGCCTTATTGATGACCTTGTCAAGCTGCTTTTTCCATGTCAGTCCCTTGTGTAATACTAGACCAAGGTACTTGACATCGCTGGAGAGCTGGATTGTCTTATTGAAGAGGGTCGGTTACTTAAGGCCTTTTGTACTTCTGTTCCTGGTAAACGGTATGATTACTGTCCTATTAGGATTGATGGAAAGACTTGTTCTTTCACACCATCGTTGGACCTTGTACAGAGCTGTTTGAAGATGCTCTGATACTGTTGAAAGGAATTTTCCGTTTATGAAGATTGCTATGTCATCAGCATATCCTACTGTATAATACCCGTCATCGTTAAGTCCCCATAGGAGATCATCGACGACCAGGCCCCACAGCAGATGCGAGAGTATGCCCCCTGTGGACAACCCCTAGACGCAGACACCCCCAGGGTTTCTCCTGATAATGTAGCTGCTATGGTTCTGCTTTCGAGCATAGCACTGATCCACCTACATATTGCTATATGCCATGCTTTCCAGCAGCCTGTTCGATGATATCAAATGAGGTTCTGTCAAAAGCTCCCTCTATGTCAAGGAATGCTCCTAAGGCAATATCCTTGTATTCAATCACATTTTCTATGCGTGTTACCGTATTGTGTAGTGCGCTTTTGGTAGATTTACCTGTTTGGTAGGCATGCTGGTTTCTGTGTAGAGGATATGTCCTCAATGCCCCGTCCCTGATATGCCTATCCACTATTTTTTCCATCGTTTTCAAAAAGAAAGACAACAGGCTGATAGGATGATAAGCCTTAGCCTTTGTGTAATCTAGTTTCCCAGGCTTTGGGATAAATGTCACCTCAACTTGCCTCCAGGCCATGGGGATAAAACCATATGCCATGCAGGCTCTATATATGTGGTATAGGTGTGGAACTAAGAGTTCTGCACCTTGCTGCAGAAGTGCCAGTACAATTCCATTTGTTCCCACTGACCTAAATTGTCTAAAGGTGTTCAGTGCCCATCTGATTTTTGATTGGTTAATTATGACTTTGGCCAGGTTCCAGTCTACCCTGTTTGTCTTGCTTTGGCAAGTGCCGAGGTTTTGCTGACCCTGTCCACCGTCCAAATTATCAATCAATTTTGAATCAGGAAAGTGAATCCTGAATAATTTATTCAGTGTCTCCCTTCCTGTTTGAGTATACCGCCCATTTTTCTTTTCCTGTGGCGCTACAGCCCCAATTTGGGCCTAGACCTACCTCCATGAAACTCTCCGCTTCACTTCGGTTTACTAGATCTTACATATATGGTAGGACTCCTTGGGCGAGTGATCAGCTTGTCGCAAGGCCTCTACCTGTAGACAAACACAGAAAAACGCACACAAACATCCATGCCTTGAGTGGGATTCGAACCCACGATCCCGGCTTCCAAGCAAGCGAAGTCAGTGCATACCTTAGACCGCTCGGCTACTGTGACCGGCATACTGCCCATTAGGCAGCTTAATAACATGAAACAAAATAAATTGGACTATAGATCAGCCAAACAAACTTGTCACAACATCCCAAAAGCAAACTTATGTTTACTTTTCCAACAAGGGTCCCCTTGCCCTCATTGACCCAGGCAAACTGTCCAAACACAATTTGGAAATACACAAGACTGGGACCAAATTTAGCATCCAGCTCTGCTAACTGATGGTAGGCAATCGAGAGAGAAGCTGGTTTGGTCAAAATTCATGTAGGTGTTCATTCCAGAATGTGGAAGGGGAAGGAAGTCACATGACAGATAAGATGCTGGGAATAATATGGTAAACATGTCTCAACTTGGAATTCTTGGGGAAGAATGAAAGACAATGAAGACACTGGCCTGAGAGCTGAAGGCCTGGGTCTTTGCATACAGTATGTCCCTAAAAAGCGTTGGTAAATTTGTGCTGGACTACATAGCATGACATTCCAGGAGACAGCAAACTTCACACTCAAAACATTATGTTACATTTTGCTTCTAAGCACATATCCACTTATACGCTTTACATAGTGTTGTTACCTATTTATACCAACACATTTCATATCACAGAAATAAGGTGATAAATTGAAACTGTTCAGAATGTTTTGAAACATAACAGATTAATTACATGAGAATGTGTTAAAGCAGAGGGACAGTTCCCACCCAAACAACATTACACACCATATGAAAATTGGAATGGTGACAGAATGAGACATGCACTGGTGGTATGTTATTCTGTTCTGTTTTGTTTCAGTTAACTGACCACAACATTGGCAACTCTCGAGACACGTCATTCGAGCAGCTCATTTTAACAGAGACAAATGGCAGAGGAGTGGACCTTGTCCTCAACTCCCTTTCTGAAGAGAAGCTGCAGGCTTCTGTGCGCTGTCTTGCCCATCGAGGACGATTCCTGGAGATTGGCAAATCTGACCTTGCCAACAACAGCCTTCTTGGTATGCCATATTACTTGAGTTTCCTAGCATTGTTTCTTTTGGCATCGTTTAGTTTTGTTCAGTGAATGGTTTTATTGACAGAAAATGTCATTTGTATAGAGACTAATTAAAAACAGCAAATTTAGTTATCATTATCTTGGAATAGGGGATCTTAAATCCCCCAGAAGTAAGGGGTGATGAATGGAATTTAACTCAAATGTAATGATATTAATATTAAGCAACAGTGCCTTACTATCTCTACCAACCACATGCCCCATTACAATAGGGAAATTGCAGAGATCTCAGAATGCACAAAACATTCTGACACATATCTATAATATTGTGTCAAGCCTGCTGAGGTATCATAATCTGTAATGTATACTCTGTGTGCTGGATGACATGAATTTGATTCTTATCTTTCTCAACNCATGTCCAAAATTTGAGAAATGAAGTAATTCATACATATATCCAAACGAGCATACTTTCTGGTTGCAAGAAAGAAATATGCATTTGCATTAAAATCCAGTCCCTAGTTATCACTTAGTCCATCTAGAGCCAGTGATTAAAAATGTGTGACTAAGAGGACTGGTGCAGTGGTAACACTCAACCAGGACTGGCTATTCTGACAGGAGTTTCACGTAGTTGTTCTCAGTCCCTGCAAGCAATATAGAGATACTACCCTGATTAGGTCATAACTGATTCCTTCCAAATCCCCCCCCCCAGTTAATTATATACCAATCATTCTATTTGATACTATATAATGTAGATATTGACATCACAATGTAACCCAATCAAGGAACATGTGTAGCTTTGCTGTTGCTTTTCTTTATGTCTTCATGGTATGTTGCTTATGCTTGGAGGCATCTTCTTGCATATAATCTTATTTTACTGTGGTTTGTAGTTCTTTTTTTTCTTGCTTTCTGCCATCATGAGATTGATCTCCATTAGGTTATGATGAAATAACAAACAAACTCTGTTACGAGTATGGTGCTCCTGTCAAAACTACTGTTGGAAGGCCTCGGTGATGTAGCAACACTGCCCTTGGAAGACGCTTGGCAGTCCTGTATACGCGGCTCCACCCCCTTACGTCTGCTGAGGGGAGGGGGGGCCAGTAGTGAATGAGGCGGTGATAATGACACAAGGCAGTGGGTAAAGAGGTGCTTGAGAGAGAGGTAGCATAGGCTCCTCAGGCAGTGACGACGACATGGAAAAAGGAACAGCAGCAGTAGCCGGCAGGGAGTTGAGGGCGCCCCAGTGGGCCCTATCTTGAAGAAAAGGGAGGGGGGTTCGAACTTGGGCCAGCGGACTGTAAGTAAATAAATTCAGGCTTACCAAGCTATTTTACCCTAATCAGGTTGGGGAGGCCCCATATCTTACTAAATTAAGTTCTACAAAGTTAACGAAAGGATGGGCTACCTAGGATACGGCGGAACGAAAGAGTTTTTCCCCTCCCCGTTGTGTATTGATGTATTGAGCACAATCTACTATGTCCATTGTATTTTCTTTATTTTATATCAGAATTAAATACAACTGTATTAGGTGTTAAATGAAACGGGCATTAATGACCTACCCGGCCCATTAGGATCCTACCGTAGGACTTTTGACCCCACAGTCGTAGACATTTCGTAACAACTCAGTGGCCTGTACTCCGCAAGCGAACTATACCAACTGAGCGACTGCCACTTGTTGGCGAAGTTAGTGCCAACTTTTTTTTGTGGATCGAGGGTGTCACGTGGTCAGTGCAACAGATCCCCACGGCCTTCATTCTCGGTTTTCTAGACCGGAGCCGCCGTTTCCTTGAAATAGCGCCTCAGTTATCCTCACGAGGCTGAGTGGAGCCTGTTCCAGACCAACTACTTCTCAGTAAATCTGGTAGCACCGGAAATCGAACCTGGGACCTCTGGGTCTGTAGGGAGGAACTCTGACCACTAGACCACAGAGGTGGTCGGTTATGATGAAATAACAACTAAAATTTTAAAAGTTTGCATCTTTAATCAGTCACCCATTAACTCACATTTGTAGCCACTTATTATTCACAGGGAGCTACCCTGATTGTCTTAAAATTTCAGTAGTAAAGACCACTATACAAAAGAGGGGACAAGGCTATTATTTCAACCTACAGGCCAATTTCACTCTTAACTGCTTTCTCTGAAGTACTTGAAAAAGTAAAATTATGCACAATAGCCATTATTTGCAGGCTAATAATATCATTGTTTAATGATAATTGATCATTGTTTAATGTGTATTATAAGTATTATAAGTTTACCTCATTTAATTGCAATATTACTGTATTATTGTATAGATACTATGTATTCTAACTTGACTTGTTCCATATCCTATGGTGTCTCACCTGTACTGGATTTACGGAATGTAAATAAATTCAATTCAATTCAATTCAATACTACAAAGACAAAACAACTCCGTCCAGTGTGACTATTTAAGTTTTACCACTTGAAAACTTAGCACCCTTACATGTTTTGATCCTTATGGATCATCTTCAGAAGGAACATCAATACTTATTTGGAAACTACTATCACAATGGGTGTTCTTAGTGCTAAAATATATACACACACAATGTCTGGAATACATAATATACACAAAATCCAATTTTTTCACAATCACAGCAGCTCTCCTGGTATTAAAGTCTTTAAAACTTTGTTGTTTAAGTTAAAATTTGTATACCAAGTAGGTTCGTGTCACTTCTCCTATTGTCTTTCATGAAGGCAGCTGAACTTGTGCCACCTGTCTGTCTTGAGAAGGAGATTCTTGTTATCATCCTCTGTTTGTTCGTGGCTTGCTGTGTTTTTTTTTTTCACTGTTATAGAGTGTGCTGTGTCGTGTAATTTATATTTCCTGTGTCTGTGACGTTAACTTAAACAACAAAGTTTTAAAGACTTTAATACCAGGAGAGCTGCTGTGATTGTGAAAAAATTGGATTATGTGTATATTGTGTATTCCAGGCATTGTGTGTATATGTAATTTAGCACTCAGAATGCCTATTGTCATAGTAGTTTCCAAATAAGTATTGATGTTCCCTCTGAAGATGATCCGTAAGGATCTAAACATGTAAGGGTGCTAAGTTTTCAACTAGTAAAACTTAAATAGTCACACTGGGCGGAGTTGTTTTGTCTTTGTAATTGTTAGTGTGACGGACCAGAATGAAACAAATCAAATAATAATATACTACTCAGAATTGATTGATTTCTGGACATTGTCCATCATCCAGTATTCTAGAAACTAGAAAACACAACATTTTGGAAACTGGATCTGTTTCTATCCTCAGGTGAGTGGGGTGGGTGAAGACACCTACTCAGTTGAGTCCCATAGTAGGAGCGAACATGAATAGGTCCAGTGACTGAGGTAAGCTCTTTCTAAGGGACCCAACTGAATTGCTGTCTCCCTCCCTTCATCTGAGGATGGAAACAGATGTAGTTTTTGAAATGTGTTTTCTAGCTTCTAGAATGCCGGACAATGAACAAAATCCAGAAACCTGGTAATTCTGAGTGTTACACACCATTGTCTGAACACTTTAGAATCTGATAATATACTAGTCCAAGAACAGTTTAGCTTCAGGAAAGGAATATCCACTGAAAATGCAGCTTTTAAGCAAACAGACCATGTATTAAAATCTGTTAACCAAAAAATGCATATTGGTGGAGAATTCTATGATTTGGCAAAAGCTTTTTACTGTGTAAATCACAAAATTTTATTAAATTACTTATGGTTTATTTTTTAGGAACAACAGCAAGTTCATTCAAATCCTACCTAACAGATAGAAAACAAAAGATTGAAACAAAATTATGAAATTCAACCCAAAGTACCCACCCAAACTGGGGAACACTAAAGCATGGAGATACATTACATTACATTGCATTGCATTCCATGGATCCAAAGTTAGTCAAAACGACTCTAGGATGTGGAATATGTCATATAAATACAAAACATATATATATATAAATGTCCTTCCTATACTAAACACCTCATCAATGAACATAATATTTGCTCATGACAATAGTGTCATAATTTCTAGTAAAACTTAATATGAATTCTGAAAACAAACTGTCCTTGAATCTACATAAAATTAATGTAATCAGATTTGTAACAAACACTCGCCACATTATCCATTAAACATTGGCTATAATGATAAATATATAGAAGAGGCAGTAAACACAGAATTCCTTGGCTTACAAATTAATAATTGTTTAAACTGGTAAAAGCATGTCAATCATTTGGTTCCAGAGCTAAGTGGACCATGCTATGCAGTTAGATTTGTGTTGCTTATCAGCAACACTGCCACTCTTTAATCAATTTATTTTATTTACTTTCACTCTGTAATGAAGTCTGGAATAATTTTCTGGGTAACTCATCTGACAGGAAAAAGATATTTACATTTCAAAGAAAATTTTTAGTCTCATGATGGATGTGAAAGCCCCAAATCCTTATAGAGATCTGTGTAAGAGATTAGAGATCTTTACTGTTCCATGTGAATATACGAGGGTCGTACTGAAAGTCTTGAGCAACAATTTTTTGTAAAGTAACATGCTTTATTATTGACAAACCAAATACACCTCCTCAATCTACAGACCTTTCTTTATTTTTCCACATAATCACCACTTCTTTGTACACATTTCTCCCAACGTTCTGGGAGTTTGAAAATTCCCCTTCTGTAAAATTCCGTTCCAGCCATCTGAAGACACTGACGCACTGCTTTCTGAATTGCCTCCCTTGTCTCAAAACGTTGTCCATGCAGCTGATCCTTCACAAATCCGAAAAGATGGTAGTCGGAGGGTGCCAGATCAGGGCTATAGGAGGGGTGTGGAAGAACTTCCCACCCCATCTTTGCAATTGCTTCCAATGTGAGGCCAGCGGCGTGGGGGCGAGCGTTGTCATGCAGGATGATGATGTTTCGTCCCGGACGTTTATCGCGCAATGCACGATGGAGCTTGTGCAGCGTCTGGATATAACAAGCAGCATTGATGGTTTGCCCAGGTTCCAGGAATTCGGCCAGAATAAACCCCTCT